TCGACGCGTATTCCGGAGGCATGGAGAGCAGATCCCACGAGGTTGACGAAGTGCAATCGCGGCGAGCATCTTCATCAAGAAGAGTGCCTGGCCGGGAAGGCGACCCGCACAGGCGCGAGCCCTCCTTCATCTCGTCCTCGATCTGGTTCTGGTCGAGCACCTCCGGGCAGTAGTCATCCTCGTACTTTGCCTCTGCCATCGGTGTCATGAAGAAGTGACGCGTCGCTGCAGGCGCCGGCGGCTGTCCCGTGAGCTGCTGCCACTGCTGTAGAGCACTCGCCGGTTAAATGCCGCCTTGCTCTTGAGCCGCCTTGTCCGCTTCGCTGCCGCTCGTCATGTAGCCCTTGCCGCCGGAGATGGCCTGGCGCTTGCGATAATCATCGGCTCCTGGAGCGTCGCACTTCCGCCACAGATGCTTGTCGCTTCCGCAGTGGTCACACTTCAAAGGCTGTCCGTTAGCGCCGCGAGGGGTCGTCTTCTCTCCCTTGCCCCTTACCTTGTAGTACTCCCGCGTGTTCCAAGTACAGTTGGGACAAAGAGCTCCATCACCGATTTCTGACAAGAATGACCATCCACTGCTGCGCTGAAATTGGACACCTTTCTTGCCTTTTCCTGTGCTCTTGCTCGAGTATCGATGCTTACGAGGAGGTCGGTCGGTGCGACGACGCCAGTGCTTCTTCGTCAGCGCGTAGATCTCATACAAATCGTCATCCGTCATTGTAGGTCCAAGCTGAGTCGTAGTCTCCGCCAGCGCCTCGCCATCGTCCTCGCTGGTCTCGGTCGTGTCCGGATCTTCTCGGTTGTAGAACACCTTCTGACACGAGCTGCACCAACAACCATCTCCACTGTAGCTCTGTGAGTTCCCACTGAAGGAGGACGACGCTGCTCCCGGGAAGTATGGCTGCTGATGATGAGGTCCTGCTTGAGTGCCCGCGTCTTGCTGCTGTTGGCCGGTGTCCGAGAAGAAGAACTGATCGGTGGTGCCGTTCGCCTGGTTCGTGTAGTGATGCTGCTGTCGGGACGGATGCGCTTCATGTACCAATCCACTCCGTTCGTAAAAATGAAGTTGTCGCCTGATGAAAAAGATCATCGCCGTGAACTCCGCCTCATTCGATGGTAAGTTATCTGGTCATCGCAAGAAACTGAGCCCACTGTGGTGGAGGTATGCCTAGCGAGTTCAGCAACATCCACGCCAGATTCGGCACCCCCATATGAAAATTGCCGAGGTGCTCCGCCTTAAACTTCAAGGGGTCGAACCTTGTCAAAGCTTGATCGATCGGTTCTCCTGGCCTGCGTCGAAAAGCCACCAGATCTGTCACACTCGTGATAGCGGTCTCTACCTCCAGCGGCACAAACTTTCGTCGCAGCCCATGTATCAGAAGATCCGCTCCAGATTACCATCGATTTCCATTGCCGTCTCGAAGGCCCATATCAACTCCATCTTGTAACTGTTCAGGCGGCATTTTCCTGCATATCGCACGTGCCAGACCCCCGAGTTGCAGAACCACTGCCGGTGCCAGCGAGCGCGGTTGAGTATCCGTCATCGCCTCCCACATGCGAACGTCCGTGATCCAATCTCGTAGTGGGTAGGCTGCTTCACGACTGGGATCCCAGCTCGGTGGCACCTTTTGTGTTCGACTGCATGATGAAACCCGCTGCTGGCCCCGCTCCCTGAGGCATGTTCGCCATGATGTCGCGCAGGGTGTCATACTGTCCGTACGTTCGTGAACGACTTTCAGCACTCGCGTATTGGGAGCAGGTGCGAGATCGCACCTGCTCCGCTACCAAGTTATTTTCCACGCGCCCCTCCTCCGCAGTCTGGTAGAGGAGGTCAGGAAAGGCCAGCGCGTCCGCCGGTGAAACACAGCCGCAGCACGCACCCTCGAGCTGATCAGGCACGAGGGGAAAGATATGAAGAGGAGGTTGACGATGTAGAGCGTCGTCGTGGTGACTGACTCATTCGTCCTGATATGGAGAATATGGCTGGAAGCTGGGCCGCCGCGGGTAGCACTCTGCGTGAGGCTTCTCACTAACCGGCTTGAGCCAAGACGCCGTCGGCGCGTCTTGCCTCCCTGAAATTTGCGTCACATATCCCGCTGAGCTTCCCACCCTTCCGGTGATTCGGGAGGACCTACACACTTTAACTAATAGTTGGCTAGTGGCAAATCTGCACCGTGTCATGGCGGGAACGTCATTTTCAGGATCAGTCTATTGGCGCCGAGGAGAGCGACATTTTCGCCCGCTCGCGCGTCGACGAATCTGCGCGCGAAGAGTGCGCGCTTCGCCTCAGCGGGGGATTTGTTGCTGGGGGCTGTTAGTGTGAATGCGGGGCGGCAGCGGAGATCCACTTGAACAGCAACATGACGGAGCTACATGCGCACTGGATGGCCGATGGGAGTCGCCAGCACATGTGCCCAGAAGGCATTGGGAAACAAGGTGGTGTTCGCACCAGGAATTGATCTATGACGACACCGGCGCCGTGAACGCGCTGGAAAATCGGGGGCTACTTCCGCCAGGAGTGCGACGCAGCCAAGGAGTGCTACAACGATGGCAAGTGCGAGCATGCTCGCGAGTGCGCCACCGTCGTCGGCCACGCGTCTTCCAAGGGCTGGCCATGTGTGGGCGAGGGTAAATGCCGCCGACCGATTGCCAACTTCTGGCCGATTGACCCTGAGCACAATTCTGTAGCAACAAGTGAGTTAGGCTATTGTGGAGCAGGACTGGAGTAGAGTACACTTGGCGTGGCGTAGAATTTGGTAGATCGTGCACGGTCGGACAATGCAAAACAGAGTAGAGTAGGCAAAGTAGTTCAGAGCAGGGCCAGGGTAGATGGTATATTATAACCGGATGGACAGGAGTAGCGTAAAGTAGTGTAGAGTTGAGGTGCGCAGGGTAGAGTAGAGGAGAGTGTCTTAGAGCAGAGTATAGTAGAACAGGGACAGAGTTGGGTAGAGTAGGTGCAAGAGTAGGATAGAGTAGAGTAGAATCGAGCAGAGTCGAGTAGAGTCGAATTGTGGTAGGGTACTGTGCCTTCGAAGCTAGTCGAGTAGAATAGGGTAGAGCAGAGTAAAGTGGAACAGCGTCCACCCCAGTTCAGTCCAGTCTAGCCCAGTCTGCTTCAGTGAACTCCAGTTCACTTCATCTCAAACGTCTGGTCTCTTTGGGGGTTTGCGCTGGACCATATTTGGGTTCCTTTCGGGTACCTTCTTGGCTTATGTCCAGGAAACCCTCAAGGTTCCTTGTGGCTTTCTCCGGATGCCCGAAGACACCGAGAGGAACGCGAATGACACCAGGAGGAGTGTTCATTGAGTAGGTTGCTGCGAAAATCTGTCGGGTCCTCAGGAAACCATTGTAGTTGTCACCACATCGTATATTACATCAATGCACAACACAATCGCCAAGCAGGATCGAATAGCGTTGGAGGGAACGCCGGACATGATGAAGGGATAAAGTATGCGTAGAGGTGAGGACGGTAATGTGGAATTCTGCATGTCGTATTGCAGCAGTTCGTGTGTGCGTTTATGCAACAGCGGATCGCGGTCAAACACACCCGCCCGCTTTATCATAGTTCGCTACCCTTTCATCACCTTACACATGATGGGCCGTCCTGGCCCAGACAAAACTGAGCAGCACTTTTCCCACAAGTCTCCTTCACACCATATTTTTTTACTGACGCAGGTATATCGGTATTGCCCACGGAACGCGTCCTCCAGATTTCATGAGTTAGTGTAGCGACGTCGAACGGGATATCCTTTTTCCGACCGCCGTGCCGCGTGTTTGGTGTCACCGGACATTCGGCCGATGTGTCTCCAGCTTCCCTGCGTTTCCGGTGGCCGTTGAAACCCCGTGGGGCCTCTTCCTCTCTCCTGTCCTTTCCACTTTCGGAGTCCCCACGTGGCCCTGACGAGCGGTCCTGTCTAGCACGCAATTCGCCATTGTCGCCATGTCGACTCACGACCTACAGTTTTTGCGATGGAGTCTCTGCGGCGTTCCTCTTCATATGAGGCCGAAGGCTGGCTGGCAATGAGCATGTATCCTGAAAGCACTTGGGAGTTCTGACTATCCTCTCCCAGCCTCCTCATTCCGAAGAGAGACAAACACGTGAAAGTTTTGACTCCGCCCCCCCCCCTTCCCTCCAGATTCAAGGTGGGCACTAGGCGTTGGGCAACACAGGCGTGACAGGATTCATCAGCAGTTGCCGTCCCGGGGCCCGCGCGAGTCCAAAGCCGAATGTCAATCTGGCGGGGAGCGAAGTGGCAAACGCAGGGTCGATCGCGAAGGGGTTCCACGTTCTAGTTTTTCTACCTTCACCTTCATTTCTTGCATCCCATTCCTCGTTCTCTCCTTGCTACAACGAAACAGCGACTTGACTTTCTCCAGCCCGCCGTCAGCGGAGGATCTCGATTGGGTGTCGGTGCGCCTCAAGGCGATGTTGTTGCCGAATAAGGACGCGTTCCGCGCCTGGTAAGCGACATGAGGAGGGGAACATGCAGGAGCAGAGGGGGAAAAGGGGAGGAGGAACGTGAGGAGGAGGAAACGGAGGAGGAGGAACATGAGGAGGAGGAGGAGGAAGAGGAGGAAAAGGAGGAGGAGGGGGAGGACACGGAAGAGAAAGAGAATATGGGCGCTGGCGGACATTTTGGTTAAATCCCACTACGTTGAGGATATTCTGGGCCCTTTGGGGCAGTTTAAATCCTTTCGGGGGGTCTCTTTGGAGCTTCGTGGGGCCTCTTGAGAGTCTTTCGGGACCTTTCAGAAGCGTCTTGAAGAAACTCCTGGGGCCTCTTCAGTTTTTTTTGTTTCGATGTCTCTTCAGGTGTTATTGGGGCCTCTCCGGAGCGTTTCGGGGCCCCGTCAGGCCATGATTGGGCCTACTTGGTCTTTCCCGCGGTGCCACTACCACCGCCGCGACCACTATATTACTACGACGGCGACGACGACGATGAGGACGACGACCACGCCGCCGACGACGACGACGACGATGACGACGACGACGACGACTACTACTACAACTACTGGTACTATTACTACCACCACTACTACTACTACTACTACGACGACGACTACGACTACGACTACGACTACGAATAGTACTACTACTACTACTACTACTACTACTGCTACTACTACTACTACTACTACTATTAATACTACTGCGATTACTACTACTACTACTACTACTACTACTACTACTGCTTTCACTATTACTATCACTATCATTACTACCACTACCACTGATTCTACTACTGCGGTTAGTATTATTACTTTTGCGACTACAACCACTACTACTACTACTACTACTACTACTACTACTACTACTACTACTAGTACTACTACTACTACTACTACCACTACTAGTACTGCCACTACTTCTACTATTCTTCTTACTACTACTACTACTACTATTTCTACTACTACTTCTACGGCCACCACTACTGCTACTACTATTACTACTATCACTACTTCTACTGTTCTTACGACTACTTCTGCTACTACTACTAGTACTACGGAGGCTACGACGGCTACCACTACTGCTGCTACTACGACTACCACCACAATTACTATTAGTTCTACTATTACGATTACTAGTACTGCTGCTACTATGTTTACTTCTACCACTACTACTGCGACTACGCTTACTACTACTACTACTACTACTACTACAACTACTACTACTACTACTACTACTACTACTTCTAGTATCACTCACTAATATTTCTACGACTACGACTACTACTACTACTACTGCAACTACAACCGCTACTGCTACTACTACTACTACTACTACTATTACTGCTGCTACTAATACTGCTACTACTACTAACTACTAACTACGAACTACTAAGTACAACGACTACTGCCACTACTATTGCATTACTACTACTACTACTACTACTACTACTACTACTACCACTACTACTACTGCTACCACTACTATCACCACCATCTAGTATTACCATTACTATTGTTATTACTGCTGCATCTACTATTACTACGACTATCATTATCATTACTACTACTATTACTGTTATGGCTACTAGTTCTACGACTACTACTGCGACGACGACGACGGCTACTACTACTGCTGCTGCTGCTGCTACTACCGCTGCTGCTGCTACTATCATACCACTGCCACTGCCACCCCTTCCACCACCACCACCTTCAGTTATCATTATTATTACTACTACTGCTACTACCACTGTTAACATCCTTGCAATTAGTTTTATTACTACCACAGGCTCGGAACACTTTCTCTGAACGCCATACCAAGAACCAAAAAAGCCCGAAAGACAAACGACACCTTCAACTTCCAAGCCCGCCCGCCTCACCAGACATGTGGTCCAAACGCGCCCCCCATACAATTCTAAACGGGCTGAAGCCGGGGTCTGCAACAGGGGGCCTTCAAAGGGGGCGGAATGGCTCATGTATGCTCAATGTATCGCTTATGTTTGTGATCGAGTACGATTGGCATCCAATGTTGGTGGTCATGGAGGGCCAGTCGTTCGTGCTCCCGCGTTGCCCGCGCGTTGCCCGCGCGGGCAAACGCGCCGTCCATCCATGATCCTTCATGCGCGCGGGCGTTCTTGCATATCGCGCGTGGGGCGGCGAAGTGGAGTGCAGGTGTGTCTTGATTGTGCGATTAATGATCGCGTATGTTCCTAAACAGTGACTTGTCGACCCCCAAGACAGGTTTGGAATGGGTCCCGCGATTCTCCCGACATGTGCATTTACTTTTTTCCCAAAATGCGAACTCATATGTTCTTTTCCCCATACTGTGAATTCTCAGTTTTTTTCCCAAGCTGTGAATTCACATTTTCTTTTTTTTTCCCAGAATGTGACTTCACATGTTGCTTGTCCCCACAATGTGAATTCACATTTTGCCCTGGCCCTCAAGATCCCCGAAACTGAGGCGCTGTGTTCCGCATGTCAGATTGGCTGGGCGGATTTCGACACTCACCTAACCGCTTTCGTTTTTGTTCAAACCTTTTCCTTTTGCGCCCTCAGCGCACGTTGCCTTCGTCGCCTTTCCCAGGCCCCCCGCCTCCTTGTTTCGTTGACCCTCAAGTCGCGCGCATGAGCGCCGGCGGGGAGGTTCAATTGGTTCCCCCGCCGAACACAGCAATCGAGGATGCATCGCCCACGCATGGACCATAGAGACATCATTGCTGGGACCCTTCGCCCGACCCCCCCTTTCACCTTCCAGTTTGATTCAAATTTTATAAAAGAAGGGTGCATGGAGCCTGGTTTGGGAGATTCTGCTTGGGACGTCCTCCAAATCTGCCTGGTTTGGGCCCTGGTTTGGCCTGGTTTGGTTTGGTTGGGCGGCGCACGCCGCCTGAGACATCCTCCGGATTTGCTTGGTTTGCCTTCTGGTTTGGTCCCGGTTTTGTTTGAGACGTCCTCGCAATTTCCTTTGTTTGGCATGGTTTGGGCCAAGTTTTGCTTGAGACGTCCTCGCAATATGTTTGGTTCCGTTCGGTTTTGGTTCAGTTGTGCTTG